ATTTACAATGTAATTTTTATAATTCTAATAATCTTTTGCGTTAGATTTCAACTCTCTAAATTTATTGTACGCTGTTTTTTACAGACATTAAATTTTGCCTTTGATTTTTACGCAAAATGTAAAAAAATTAGTTTTTCGATTTTTCACCTTCAAGGTTGTAATTTTTTCCAGTCAATTTAGACTCAAACCCGGCACTGAATAATCAGCTATCAAACAAAAAAATCATTGAAATCGGATGAAAATTGTAGAAACGCATAATCAACATCCGATCACACACATACATACACACATTTTGAGAATTATAGATATAGATTGCGAGCAATAGCTGAACAGTGCTAAAAATAAATAATTAGACGAGATATCTCTAAATGAAGACCGTATAATTAGAACAGTCTGCCCCCCGTTGATTATAAGTAAACATACAACGCGACCCTCGCTCAATCTTTCCACTTACCGTTCGATGATCACCAATTTATGTTGCGTTTCAATGATAGATCTTGTTGGTATTCACCGACAGCTGGGAAAGGGTGGACACCACGTCGAGAAATAAGAATACGAATTCTGTTTTTCATATTACATGTAGCTGTTCTATTCAGGGCTTCGCCTGCGCGCCTGAGTAGGTAGGTAGGTGCTCCTACCAACTCATCTACTCATCCCGACGTGTTGGGAAACAATACGAAATCTTCCGCCAAAGGTGAAACAGAACTCTCCTCGATTTCAAGCATGACTGTTAATATAGGCCAACATCCGGATATACCCTATTTCCGGTTTTGTTGCCACTTGATCGCTAAAAAAAACACTTCCCATTCCACTTCGGTTAAAGGGAATGCCACTTAGAATCTAAACTCCAAAAGAAACCATCTGCTGGTCTATCAAACAGAAACACTTACGATCAAGATAAAAAAAAAAAAATCTCTTCCCTATTTATGTGGATGTCCATAGTATCACATAGATAAAGGATTCGGTTCACAATTCCCTGTAGGTTACCCGGATCAGTGTGTGTCTGCATGTAAATAGTATAAGTAATAACAATAGACTAGATTACTACAGCTGTGTTTTTTTTTCTTATTTCACAAACCTAAAAGTTTTTTTCAATCATTTCACTCCAAGCAAGGCAACAAAGCCACTAACACGCAGCGGGGGTTACTGAGCGTGAAAGAATATAAAAGAAAGGAAAAGAAGGAGCTAAAACAATAAAAGAGCAAGAATTAACAAGACAGAAGATAACGACTGACATTGCATTTAAATTTTTGAAAATCAAAGTTGTCCGGAAAGCAAAAAGTAGGAAGAGAGTTCCACAAGCGAGAAGTGCTAAAGAAGAAACTGTTAGCATAGAACTTACGGTTACTTCTAGATAATTCAACTATAAAATGATGAGACCTTGCCGCTAATCTAGTACTGTGCTTAAATTCATAAAGTTTAGGTACCATAGAGGAAGGATCATCAGAACAATTGCCATGAGAGTATTTATAGAAGAGGCACAGAGAAGCTCCATTACGGCGGTGGGAAAGGTACTGAAGCCGAGATGCCAGGGCAAGATTGATAGCATTGCAGATTCTTCTTTAGATTGTATCAAGGAACTCGCAGACACCAGACCATATGTGACAGTAACACATATTCAATAAAATTCATATCAGGAAAGTGACTTGGATACGAGGGTTATTTAATACCTTTTGAGACGAGCCATTCTTACTGTGTAGCTTATAGCTTCATTCTGCACGAAAGGAATCCCTTTTCTTCCAAAATATCTATCAGTCAGTATTAGAAGTCTCTACTACAGAAACTTTATTTTCTATTAAATGCTAAAAAAAGTATCTTTGATGTGTCGAAGATTCGCTAGATTCAACTCAACAAAAAGGAAAGACACTTTACGTATCTCTCATTGGCAGAGTCGAATACAAATGTCTAAGACGTTAGAAATCTATATAAAAAATACGAATGTCAGTGTGTCACACCTTTTTAACTTTACTCCTAGAGGCCGTAGCTGAACATATTATATCATTTTGAAATCAGACCGACGACGTGAACAAATTAAAAGCATTCCGAGACTGATCCCCGGATCCAGAATCCTGAAATTTTAGATCCCCAAATTTTCATTATTGCAATTGTTTTCGGCGATTTTTTACGTTTTTTTTTTTTTTTTTTTTGTGACGATATTTTTGTACGATAACAATTTTTATAACTTGGAAATAAATTTGGGAATAATTGAAATTAATTGCGAAATCCAGCGAAAGTCACCCATGAAACGAAAATAATTGTTTGTAGAGAAAGTAAGGACCTACGTGCATCAAATTGTCTTCAAATTAAGTGGCGGTAGAAGAATTATTGTTGAACTTTTAAAAGGTAAGCTTTAATATTAATGCTATACTTAAATTCAGCGATCAATTTTCGGTTCTTCTGTAGTTTATTGTTGCCTATCGCATCTACTCCTCCCTACCTATTGAGATGAAGGCACAATAAAGATCCCTCTGCAGGAGCTAGCTTAAATGCCGCCCGATAGGGCGTCTTTTAAGCTAATTATAAATATTTTTCTTTTCGAGAAGCTACACGTGTTAATACGAAACGAATGTGCAGTTGCATGTACTACTTAAACATCTTTAAATTATTATTTAATTTACCATTTTATAAAGAAATAAATTTGAAGAGAAATCTTTTTATTCCAAAATTTATAAAAGAGCTTACAAAATATGTAAACCAACTACAATGCAATATTTATTATTTACCATTTTATAAATAACTATAGAACAAGAAAAGCTATTTTAGAGCATTTATAGTAATGTTCTAAGAGTTGCTTAGATGTGACACAAGGCCGAAAGTATGGGGCACCCAGTGAGGATCGAACACACTCTGTCGTAATTGATCTAGTGAGATAAGTTTGCTAACCATTACACCACGACGAAGTGATCAAAATGATTTGCTAAGCATAGCTTAGATGTGGAACACCCAGTGTTTTTCGAACTCACTACTCAGCTATAATTAATTTTGTTTTTTTTACCATTACATTATGTCGAAGTGCACAGATTTTAGTCAATATTACGTGGTAATAGCAAATGAAAGAAATGCCTGGAAAATGATTTTTGTTTTTTTCATAATTTATAATTACAGTTAGTTACTTGTCGTTATGTTTTATTGAAATTTTCTTGTTCAGTGACATTTTTATAAATTTATGAATAGAAAAATTCTTTTCACATTTATTTCTTTATAAAATGGTAAATAATATTTCATTATGATTGGTTCATTGATTTTTAGAATCATGTAAACATAAAATTATTCTTGTAAATAAGCAATCAAATAAATAGTGTTTAACATCTTTGTTGTCAATTCTCAAGAATAAAGAAAACGTATAAATTATATGTTTGGGTTTGATTAAAATTTTCTTCTTCTGTGTGCCGTGTCCCTCAGATGTTGACAATCATGGCCCTCCACAATTTCCTCTCCTTTGTAGCTCTTAATAAATTTTGTCTTTTTGTTATTTCTCCTAAACCTTGTTCCACTATCCATTTACTCAAGGTTATTCCTCTTCTTCTATGTGCCATGTCCCTTCAGGATGCAAGCATTCATGGCTCTCCACAATTTCCTTTCCTTTGTAGCTCTTAATAAATTTTGTCTTTTTGCTATTTCTCCTAAACCTTGTTCCACTATCCATTTACTCAAGGTTATTCCTCTTCTTCTATGTGCCATGTCCCTTCAGGATGCAAACATTCATGGCTCTCCACAATTTCCTCTCCTTTGTAGCTCTTAATAAATTTTGTCTTTTTGTTATTTCTCCTAAACCTTGTTTCGCCATCCATTTACTCAAAGTCATTCTTCTTCTTCCATGTGCCATGTCCCGTCAGGATGTAGGCAATCATGGCCCTCCACAATTTCCTGTTCTTTGTAGCTCTTAATAAATGTTGTTTTTTTGTTATTTCTCCTAAACCTTGTTCCACCATCCATTTACACAAGCTCATTCCTCTTCCATGTGTCATGTCCCTTCAGGACATGGGTGGTCATGGCTCTCCACAATTTCCTATCCCTTGTAGCTCTTAATAAATTTTATCTTTTTGTTATTTCTCCTAAACCTTGTTCCACCATCTATTTACACAAGCTCATTCCTCCGCTTCTATGTACCATGTCCATTCAGGACGTGGGTGGTTACGGTTCTCCATAATTTCTTATCCTTTGTAGCTCTCAATAAATTTTGTCTTTTTGTTATCTCTCCTAAACCTTTTTCCGCTATCGATTTACTCAAGCTCGCTAAATAGGTTATGCTTTGTTTTCCTCTGACCCCCTTGCCTTTAATCTGTCCTGTGAGTATCTGATTTTCCAAGCCCTCTTTCCTCATGAGTCCTAGACATTTCAACTGTATCGCTTTTTAAAACAGTAAACATTATCGCGGAGGAATCAAAAGTATATACAGAAATAGCAGTTTATACTATTTACATTATTCGGACTGTTGTCCTCATCTTCACATTTACGACGTTTCGGGCGCTGTACGCTCCGGCCTTCTTCAGGTGATATACGTTGGAATTTCGAACCGAACTCTTTAGTCCACTGGGGTAGATTGTTCTGGTTCGGTTCGAAGTTTCAACGTATATCACCTGAAGAAGACTGGAGCGTACAACAGCCGAAACGTCGTGACAATAAAGATGATGACAACAGTCTGAATAATGTAAATAGTGCAAATAGTTACAATACCTCATCTCAGAAATATAGACAGTAGTAATAGCGGTGTCAAGGGAATAACCATCATTTTCACACTATTTTGTCCCTATTTTTTATGAGTGGAACCGTATATTTAAATAGTACCAAATTTTGTCCTGAGCATGGCTCGTGAGTCGTAGTTTGGAAAGACCTGATCTAAATGATAATCAATCAGGAGTTTATTCACTTGTTTATTTTATTTTTCAGGATACGGTCACATAGCGCCCAAAACCGACTGGGGTCGTATCGTGACCATCATCTACGCCATCTTCGGTATTCCACTAACCTTACTTTGTTTACGCACCATTGGCTCACTC